CCCCCGGGCCTCGTTATGAACTTTTAATCAGCACTCCCGTCCCTGTTTTTTTCGTATTTGCCCCCTAGTAATCTACTGTCATCCTTTTCTGTAGCCCCCTTGTCTGAGGGAGTCTAATGCATTACTCGGTGTGTCTATACCTGTGCCCCTTAAGGTTGACAAATAGACCTAATTGTTCACAGGACTGGTGTGCACTGGGGGTGTCCCCCCCCCACACACCCTGATGCACTGGTTTTATACCCTTGACCTTCAGATCCCATCCCTGCTTTCTTCTTTAGTTGTCTTCAGTTGAGGCATGCCCAATAGTATGCCTAGTAACAGGGTGGGCTAACTTTGCTTTGTGGGCATAAAGCCCATGTTTCTGATACGCCTCAAATAGGTTTAATCCAGGGGCAGGCAACCCCCTGCACAGGTGTCAGCATGTGGCACGCAAAGGCATTTTGCTTGGCATGTGCACCTTGGGGTGGATGGTGGGGAAGGAGCTGGGGCTGTGTTGCCACATCAAGGATCGGGCCCCTCGCAGCTCCCTGGCACACAACATTGTACAAGTCGAGGTTATGGGTGTTTTGGCACTCTGCCCAAAAAGATTGCCAACCCCCAGTCTAGTCATTCACATAGAGGGTGTGCTCTCATGTCATGCCCCACGCTTGTTTTTAACCTCTAAGCCATGCTCCTGTCCCTTTTTTTGTATTAGCTGTGCCAAGAACTTGGTAGCCACACACTCAGCAGCAGAGTGGGTTAGCAGTTTTTGTGTGGGCTCATACCCACATCTGTATGTGCATCATGTAAGCTATTCAGAGTCCCACACTGCCCTTGTAGCCAGTGTAGCCATTTAGTGCTACATCAGTTCCTGTCCCTCTATTCGCCCAGGTGCATGTCTTTGGGGGAACCAGCGCTTTTTTAGGGCGGTGCGCAATTTCACCGAGTGTTTCTTTTCGGAGCTGTTTCGACACATTCCGAGCTTGAAACAGTGAAATCGAAATGAAACAAAAAGCTTCAAAACAGCCTAGAAATGAAATGAGGGCACTCAAAACGTTTCAAAAGTTTCAAAATGTTTTGAGTTTTGAAGCAGCCCAGTGGCAGGAGGCAGGGAGAGCCAGGGCTGTGCTCCGAGCAGCTTCGCAGCCACATGGAGCTCAGCCTGGTGAGGGGAAGTGGAGCACAGCCCTGGCTCTCCCCACCTCCCGCCACCAGGCTGAGCTCCGTGGGGCTGGTGCAGCTGGTCAGAGCACAGCCCTGGCTCTCTCTGCCTCGCACCACCGGGATGAGCTCCATGGGGCTGCAGAACCCCACGGAGCTCAGCCCAGCAGCAGGAGGCGGGCAGAGCCAGGTCTGCGCTCTGACTCCCACCATCAGCCTGAGCTCTATGGGGCTGAGGAGCTGCTCAGAGCACAGCCCTGGCTCTCCCCTGCCACCGGGCCAGATGACAAGAGGCTGCTGCTGCTGTCTGGGGCCAGTGGCAGCATCAGTCTTGCCAGGCAAAGGCTGTGCCCAGCACCAATCCCAGGCAGCAGCAGCAGCCTCCTGTCATCCAATGCAGATCCGGGGGCCCACACCCCTGGAAAGAGTCTGGCACAGCCCTGCAGCCCTCCTGGGGGTGCAGGCCCCTGGATCTGCATGCTAGATGACAGGAGGCTGCCGCTGTTGCCTGCAGCCGGCAGCAGTCTTCCCTGGCGCTGGGTGTGAGCTGCACCCAGTGCGGGTGCCAGGCAGCAGCAGCAGCCTCCTGTCATCTGGCACAGATTCAGGGGCCTGCACCCTCAGGAGGAGTCCAGCACAGCCCCTTATCCCTCCCGGGGGTGCAGGCCCCCAGATCTGCATGCCGGATGACAGGAAGCTGCCACTGTGGCAAGTGTCATGAGTTTTGCTTTTTGCAGTTTGAGGTACAGGTTCCCAGAAACCCCTGTATCTATCTCCTTGAAACTTGTAAGGTTTCATGCCCTCAGAAGGGGCTACCATTCCTGCAATTTTCACTCAAATCAGGCAAGAAATGACAAAGTTTTAGGCATTTTCATGATTCCCCATTATAGCCTATAGGCAAAATATCGAAGCACGTCAAAACAGCGAAACAGTTTTGATGAAACGAAATAGGACAGTGCTTTGAAATTAAATGAAATGATGAAACAAAAGACTGTCCCTTCAAAATGGCGAAATGGACATTGAAATGAAATGATGGTGTTTTGCACAGCCCTAGCATTTTTCTTTCTCCTTTCAGCCTTTGCCTTGTCCAGTCAGACTGTAAGCTCTCTGGGGCTGGACTGTCCCTTACTACGTGGCTGAACACAGCCTAACAAAGACAGGTCTCAACCTCAGCCTCTTGACAATACTTTACCGCACATACAAAATAATGACAGAAATGATAACTGATTGACTGAAATGATAAATGATTAATAATACCCACCATCATAACTAGCAGCATTATTGGTAGTCACAGAAGAGAAACAAGAATTACCTGTTTCCAGTGACTGCTTGTACCTCCCGGAGGGGAGGCAAGGAGGAGGAGGGGAAAGGCTTGTTTTGTTTTATTGCAGGGTGTTAAACCTATGGCCTGCTGCCTGGATCTGGCCTGTGGAGCCACCTTGTCTGGCGTGCCAGGCTACAAGAAATTAGAAGTATGGCCTGCCATAATTCAGGGGCTTTGGGCCCCACTGCACGTGGCCATCTATGGTAGGGAGGCAAATGATAACCACTAATGCCGCTCCAGTGGACCTGGATCTCATTGACTGAATGCAAAGCAGACACTACTGGACCCATGGGCCCCATGGACCCAGCCCAGGAGAAGTCCTGGTGTCCAGATCTGGCCTGGGGCCAGGGGGTGAATTTGACACCCTGCTCTGGTATGTTGCACCTGGTTTGTAGATCAAGCTCTTGGCTTAGAGGCAGAACCTTTAAGATTGTCACCGTTCATTTAATTCATACAAATAGAAACCAAATATGATGTCTTCCTTTTATGTTATTAACTCATCTCCCTTTTTCACAAAGTCACAGTTGGCCTCATTTACACTAGCAATTTTCTTAACCATGAATACTAATAGGAAAAATTATAACTATACTTGCACCAGAAGCTAAACGTGTAGGATATACCAGGTGCATGCATTTTTACCTCCTGGCCATCTAATCCTGACCCTCAACATGTGACTGACTCCACATAGGTGGTCCCTTTTGCTCATGTGAAGAGCCAGTGGCAGGAGCAGAGTTCCTGTTAGCATTATTATCCATGGTTAATAAAGACTACAATTATTGCTTTTGCAGATGTGCCTTCTGGATTTGCATTCCAGGAACCTGCCTTTTGTTGGCATTATTGAAGGAGTGATTGTGATCACAAAGTCAGCTTCTGTTGCCTGCTGCCTGGGAAAATGCAATTGTCAAACCTGGATTAGTTTAAACCCTGGAACAGGATAACCTTTGATCCAAAGCTCATCTATCTCTTCCTCACTCCCACACCTTATCTCCCTTGGGGATATCAGTTGCTTTGGCACCTGTTCTATAGCTAAAGAAGGAACTTCATTATTGTAAGCTGTTCCCCAAATTTAAAGTAAAGAAGGAGAAACAAAAGTTTCCCAGCCTGTCCTAGACAGAAAGGGATCAAATATCCCTCCCTTCCCAGGACAAAAGAGAATTCCCCATCTCCAAATGTTTTCCTCATTAATTATACACATATGTTGAGAATTTTCAGTGTAATAATCAAATTATAGAAATATGGCTCTTGAGCTACCTAATTATTAGGGCTGTCAAATGATTTAAAAATGTGATCACGAAAGATGCGTGATTTAAAAAGTTAGTCGTAATTCATGGCGATTTTAATCACACAGCTAAAAACTAGGGCTGTCAATTAATCAAAGTTAATACATGTGATTAACACATTAATGGATTCTTGCATTGATTTTTTTAGTTGCAGTTAATCGCGCATGTGGTTTTGGAGCCACTGCCTGGGCTGCCCAGCGGGACAGCGGAGGCAGCGCAGAGCAGGGCAGCCCAGGCACAGGCTCCAAGTGGCTGCAGTGGGAGGGGTGGGAGACACACACAGACACACAGACAGGCACACACTAGCAGCTGCAGCCTGCATGGTGCATGTACAGCAGTGCCTTGTGGTAAGTCTGTTGAGGGAGAGTGGAGGGGGAAGGGCAGATCGAGGCCTCCACAGTGGGAAAGGGAGTGGGGCAGGGGCAGGGGCAGGGCTGGAGTGAATGGGATTCTGGGACAGAACCTCAGGAGGCTCATTTAGGGACATGGGTGGGGGGCACAGCTTCCCACTACTGCATTCACCCCTGGGGGAGGCATGGAGGGTATATGCATCCCTGATTTGTGCACAGGGCAGTG